CAGGGGGGGGGCTGCCAGGTCTGAATGTACAAAGCCCCTTTTTGTGTTCCGAGCGATGCACGAAAGACGCCTCCTCCCGTCTCCTTTGGACATGATTTGCCTTTGTGTGTATGTGTGTGTGTGTGTGTGTGTGTAACAAATGGCGGGTGTTTCTCTTTGCGACCGCTGCCTCTTTATTTGACGCTTTTGTAACGGGGCTCTTTGGCCGAAGGATCAAATGCTGACAATGGGGTGGGGTCTTTCCCCCCCCCCACTTCCACGGGAGAAATTTTAAGGCCCGACTCTGTTAATCACGCACACAAGGTAGCTGAAGGGGGTTAAATTCCGCCCCTCCCCTTTTTCTCCAAGGTGTCTCTCTGTCTTTTTTGTTGTTATTGTTGTTGTTGTTGTTTTGTCCATCACAATTGTCCTGTGATGCTTCACTTGGGAGGGTGGGAGGGAGGGAGGGGTGGGAGGTCACACATCCTCGCCTTGCTTTTCAAAAGCTTCAACGCTCGGAAACTCCGATTCCACCAACTTCCATGCCTGCATATTAAAAAAAAAAAAAAAAAAAAAGGAAAAAGGAACATTATTTCTTCATTCTTTTCCTTTTTTCGAACCCCTGGGAAACTCGGCAGAAGAGAACTTGGACCCTTTCCATAGTCACATAGGCCTTCCTGGTGGTTTATTTTTCATTTTTATTTTATTGAAAAAATGGGCTACCTGTAGGGTCCCAATGAAAAAATAACACCCTGATTGATTCTAACTTAGTTTGCATCATTCATTCATTTTATATTTCCTTCCTTCCCTCCCATTGTCTTTCCTTCCCTCCCTCCCTCCCTCCCTCATTCATTTATTCATTCATTTTATATTTCCTTCCCTCCCTCCCTTTCCCCCGTTCCATTTTCATTCCTTCTCCTTTCCACCTTTCCTCCCTCCCTCCCGCCACCCTCCCTCCCCTACTTTCGCTTTTCTCCTTCCCTTCCCTTTCCGCCTCCCTCTTTCCTTCTTTCCTCCTCTCTCCCCTTCCATCCTCCCTCCCTCCCTTTCTTTTTCCATTCCCCTTTCCATCTTTCCTTCCTCCTGAACAAATAACACCCTGATTATTAAACCAAGTTCTTGATTTACGATTCAGACTGGAACGTCCCGTTGTTACACATGGTGTAGATGTTAAGGTGTCTGTCGGGGGGGGGG